CACTATGTTCATTAATTCTGTTGAAACATAGCGGCCAATGTTCATACAAGTTCTCTCAATCAGCAATGAAATAAACAACCAGTCATTCAATTTTTTTGAGGGTAAATATTAGTCAGGTCTCTCTGCTTTCCTTTGAGTAGTACCATAGCATTTTTAATATCCTACCAGGTGATAGACTGGACCTTAGTTTAAAATTGCATCCAAAATGACAACACCCTAAGATTAAAGCACTATCTCAGTACGGAATTGAAGTCTCAGCCTTGTGTATATGTTGAAATTTTTCCAACATTATTGGAAATTGTTGGGAAGCATGTTATCACTGATACTAAAGAGATGGGGACAGGTAGTTTGGGGTGGAGGTGTGAAAAGTAGACAACAAGACAGATGACTGTCTCAAATAAACACGAAGGTAACAATGGGGATAGAGAGGACATCCAACTCTTAATGAATAGCACAAAAACATCTAGCAATGAGTCGAATATTTTTTCTCTATTCCGACACTTTAAAATTTTTTTTATTGTCACCTGGCTGTGAAATTTGAAATGTGTTGGGAGCAAGAAAAAGCAATTGTTTTAGATGAGTCTAGGGATATCTCACCATGAAGCCTGATAGTGAAAACCCCCTGTTAAAATTTGGGTTTTTGTCACAATTTTGACTTTGTCCAATGGCAGAAAATGGGTGAAGTTGAAATGATAGCCATTTGTTTTGATGGAAATCAAATGGGGCATTTTTCCACTCTTGATTTGCCATCGTCCATTTGACTTAAAATGAACTCCATAACTTAAAATTTTCTAAAAACCATGGCAACTGTGAGGACCAGAGAAACATTCAGAGTTTTAGAATGAAGAGCAGAGAAAGTGATTAGAAATCCTACATGGAGCTATGTTATACTTGAGAGTAAAATACTTCCAAGTACCTTGCATACTTGAATCAAAACAAAATGAGAGAAAGATACAAATATATCTTATATGTATGAGCTCATACCATGGCAGATGGTGCATTTGAACTCCACAAAAAACACAGTAATAAGAATCTAATGATGACCATAAAGCCATTCTCAGTTGTTGGAAAAACATCTGGTTTACTAAGAGATAGTAGGAACTGCAGATGATGGAAAATCTGAGATAACAAGGTGTAGAGCTGGATGAACATAGCAGGCCAAGCAGCATCAGAGGAGCAGGAAAGCTGACATTTCGGGCCATCCCTGCCTCTTTGACCTGTCTGTCTCCTCTCCACCTATCTTCTCCTCTATCCATCTTCTATCTGCCTCCCCCTCTCTCCCTATTTATTTCAGAAACCCCTTCCCCTCCCCCATTTCTGAAGAAGGGTCTAGGCCCAAAACATCAGCTTTCCTGCTCCTCTGATGCTGCTTGGCCTGCTGTGTTCATCCAGCTCTGCACCTAGTTATCTGGTTTACTAATGTCCTTTAGGTAAGGAATCCTTACCTGGTCTGGCCTACATGTTACTCCAGGCCCACAGCTATGTAGTTGATTCTTTACTGCCCTTTGGTTAATTAGGGATGAGCAATAAATGCTGGCCTAGCTAGTGACGCCCACATCTCATGAATCCATATTTCATATTAAAAATCTACCCTTGTTTTCCAGTGAGAGAGACCAGAAGATATTTTAGGAATTGCCAGCATGATGCAGACCTGTAAGAGATTAATACAGAAGGGCAGGAGGTTGAAATCTCCCACGTTAGACTCCTGCCAAATATAAGAGAACTGAGTGTATTCATTTTGTAAAATCTGGAAAATTTAAATTCCAATCACTATTTTTGATCCAGAATATTGTTTGTATGCAGGCCTTGTGAACGAGAAATTCTGACAATGTCCCTTTAATGTCAATCATTTATCATCTGTTAGATTTATGGAAAACCTGTTCGTCTCAGTTGCTCAGCTATGCTGAGTCTGTGTGCCAATGCATTACACAAGGCCTATAGACTGAGCACTGAATAAAAGCTGTTGTCCTTTGCTGTGCAACTCTGACGACTGCAGTAAAGGTACACCGAAAGACAACAGTTATTGTTAGAAACAGCCTCCAGTCAGGAGTGTCCTGGAAATGTGCCAAAACTTTGCCTCACTACTGTACCATGTTGATGTTAAGTTCAAATGGTTGATGAAACCTTGATGCCATCAACTCATGCCAGTTCTGATGATCCCTCTGCATTTACTTGATCTCTCCTGCTGATTCTGCACAAACCTTGCCCAAACCTTCATCTGTTCGTTATATAGCCCTGTCCCCATGCAAAAGTGGGGATGATACAAATTTCATGAATTGAATCAGAGATAGTAGGAACAGAAGGGTCTAGGCCCGAAACGTCAGCCTTTCTGCTCCTATGATGCTGCTTGGCCTGCTGTGTTCATCCAGCCCTGCACCTTTTCATGAATTGACACTTGTTTTGGGTGTAGATTTTGAGACAAAACTAAGGGCATGAAAAACCAATACCTTTGCTAATGGGCAAAGAATTTAACTTACATTGGATCAGTGTTATAATAATTGTAACAATGATGATGTAACTTATTACATGGCTGACTTCAGTAAGGGAGATGGCAACAATCTGGAATGAGCATATGAAGAGAGAGAACTTAGACACCACACTAGAGAGCTGTACCTGTTAACTTACTACGCACAGTCACAAATAATGGAGTTACATACATAGCAGCCTCAGGGACAATCGATCTGCAGATAGCTGTCGCCAGAGATACTCCAGGTAGGTAGCAGGGTTGGTTTAAAGCACAAGATAAAGCCAGAATAATATAAAGCCCAATGTCTGCTGTCATTAGTTACTAGAAAGATCTAGGAGCAAGCATTGAATGCACAAAGAGTCGCTGAAAGTAAGTGATTACTGATTATTAACTTGCCAGAATATCCAAATGTTTTTCAACATGGGGAGTGCTAGGGGAATGTCTGAAGGGATTGAAAAAGCTACAGGGTCATCAGCAATGTAAATATGCACATGGAAAACAAAGGCTAGGGAGGTCATCATTAAAGGCAATAAACATTTGGAGAGATGGGTGGAACATGACCTTGAGTTGTATTCGAGGAAGAACGCTGTAACTGCAGAAACTCTAAACAACATAGAAAACCCACCTGTTATCACAGAGCTGGATATCAATGCAAAGTGGATAAGTTTAGCAAAGCTATTTATTCAATTGCCATAGACAAACCTCTAGATATGATGCTATAGCACCAGAACTCATCAAATATGGAAACCAGCATTTCTACAGCTTTTGTACACAAATCACCATCATTGCTGGAGAGAGAGCTTAGTATCTGAGGATTTACTGATGCAAAGATTGTGATTCGGTGCAAGAACTGTAGTGATGATAACAACTATCGAGGCATCTCGTTACTGAGTATCATGGGTACAGTCTTTACTCATGTTGACTTTGCCAGGCTACAGATCCAGTGTGGTTTTCAAACTGGAAGATCTACAACTGACCTGGTCTTCTCAGTCCAGCAGATAGAAGAGAAATATTGTGAAAAAGGAGGCCAACCTACATTGCCTTTATTTATTTCACCAAGACATTCAGTCAGAAAGTAGACACGATCTGTTTAAGCTGCTAAAGAAAATTGTTTGTCCGCCCAAACTGTCCAATGGCATATGAAAGGCGGAGTGCATACACCAGATTGGCAGTGATAACTATTTGATGTGGTTGGTGTTCATTCATTTCTAAACTCTGCCTTTCTTCCATTACAACCTGAAACCATTCATTCATTCCTGCTCTTTCCTATCATTTAGAACCCACTCACCTTTTTCTCCCATTGCACCCTCAAGCCATTAGCTCGTTTATGCTGTCAGGTTCTCACCCATTCATACCCTTTGCATTTCACCCATGCCTTCCTACTCTCCTTGACTTATTTCAGAGATTCAGCCTCCAATGGCTTCTCAATTCTCTGTTCCCAGTTCCGGACCACTGTCACTAGTGTTCCCCCTCAGTTGACCCCTTCAATTTCTCAACCATATACTGCCCCTCGATGAAAGTAGCACCATTTTAACATGTGACCAAATGGAAAATAGTCACAACTGACTCTTGACCCATGCACTTCTGTATAAGTGCCTGACTACTTGCCTCACATCCAGTACCAGAGGTGATGAATTTTATTTTTGAATAAATACTAGGATGCTCCTCAAATCCATAGTCAGTGCTACCTGCCACTACCTCTGTTCTCTAGGCATTGACTTCATCTCTCTCTCTCTAAGACTGTACCAGACTGTTTACAACCTTGGTATTGTGTTTGACACCAAAGTAAGCTTCTGATCACATATTTGCACCATCAAAAAAGTGACACACATCACTACCAGAAGATCACTATTCTGCATCAACTCTTCCACTGCTGAAACAGTTCATTCCTTCGTTACCTCTAGACTTGATTAATCCAATGTATTTCAAGCTACCTTCCTAATTCCCACCCTCTATAATTCTGAGGTCATCCAAAAATCTACCTCCTTTATTTTAAATTGCACAGAGTCCTGTTCAACTTTCATCCTAATTCTTTTTGACATCCATGTCTCCCAGTTCAGCAAACCTTGATTTGAAAACTTTCATCCTCAGTTCGAAATCTTTCCATCCTCTCACTCCTCTTTGTCTCTGTAATTTTCTACCAGCCCTACAACTCTGTGAGTCATCCTGCAATTCTATCCTTTTCCACATCCCTGATTTGAATTAGTCTATCATCGATAGCTGGGTCTTGAGTGGTTGAGGCCTTAAAATCTCTGGGATTTTCCCTGTATATCTCTCTGATTCTCTAACGTCTTTACTCCTTTAAAGTGCTCTCAAATATCTACATTTTCATCTCCTTTAATATCTCTTTGACTTGTTGTCAAATGTTTGAAGTACACGTTGGTGTTGCTTTGAGCTCAGACATCCATGCATCTTACCTTTCTGCCTTTCACACATTTATACCTTCCCTTTATCTTCACTCGCTCCTATCTATTTGTGTGGTGCTATTATTTTCTGTGCTTATTAAATATGCATACTGAATGTTTTCTTTCAGTATCACAGTGAAGGATCTAAAGGTCATGCTTCCTCAAGTTAACTACAGAGTCCCAAATATGAGATTCTTGCGGGACAGGTTGTTGGTAAGTAGAAAGATTTCTCTTGTGTTCCTTATGCAATTTTATGATTTTTCTGAGGAATCACATGACTGAGAATAGAAGATTCTCTGAATCACCATCACGCATTCCTTTCCAGACCTTTGTCACTACTGGTGTGATGTGCAATATTTACAAATTAGGAAGCTCCCAAGGAAAATCAGGATATCTCCATTTCCCTTAAGCACATTGTCAGTAAAACTATGATATTTCCATTCCTACAGCAACCACAAACTGTGACCTTAGAACTACATCCATTTACAGCACAGAAAGAGGCTGTTCCGCCCATTGTGCCTGAATTATTTCATTGAAAAGACTACCTAATTAATGCCAATTCCCTGCTCGCTGTTATTGTCCCTAATTTTCTCCTGCTCAATTGTATATCTCTTGAAGTAGACTTACCTGAGATTAAAGTCAATGTTTGCTCAGTTACTAAACAGTTGAACACATTGCTTTGGGTCTGGAATCATGTGTCAATTTCCTCTAAAAAAAACTAGCGAATGAGATGGGATTTTCAATTGACAATGGTTGCATTATTCAACTAGGTTTTAACTCTAGTTTTCTTTTAAACTGAACTCAAAAATCACATCTGCTTCAAACCTATTTCCCCAGAATATTAGCCTGTGGATGTGGATAACTGAGTCTCATGACATTATCACTATCCCACCACCTCCTTTTTGGCCGATGTCTACTAGTAGCTTGGCTACCCTTTGTTCAGAGACAAGTCTTGAATTTGGAACAAAAGAGCTTTGGCCTGTTTAACAAGAGTTGTCTCCCCAGCGTGCTGGCAGCTTCACAACAAGAGTATCATTGAATATTAGATAACTTCATGCCAAAGTTCACCTGCATGGGAGGGGATGTGGGGCAGGCAGAAAAGATCCCGTAGAAACTGTCTAGAAAATAGAATCTGATCTCCTTAGCCATCATTACTTCCTCAAGGTAAACAGATTAATTGGTCATTCATTCATTTACCTTTGGTAAAAATTGCCATGTTCAAATTGGTTGATGTATTTACATATGAAAGATAATTTTTGTGAGGTGCTTTGGAATGTCCAGTGATCAAGTGTAAATATAAAAATGTTTCAGAGATAGTAGGAACTGCAGATGCTGGAGACTCTGAGATAACAAGGTGTAGAGCTGGATGAACACAGCAGGCCAAGCAGCATCAGAGGAGCAGGAAAGCTGACGTTTCGGGCTTAGACCCTTCTTC